AAACATGTATTTCTTTCATTTCTTTCTCCCCCACCATAAAATAATTAGAAAAATAACATTCTCCATAAGAGAGAGAGCCGCAACGGAAGAGATAATAGATATATACGAGAGAGAGATATTTATTTTTTACTCGGCGGCGGTGGCGGTGGGCGCGGCGGCGGCGGCGGCGGCGGCGGCGGCGACCTCCTCCCCTCCCCCCTCTGACGTCATGTCCACGCGTCCAATTTTTTATATCATCTTCGTTATTTATTTTTTGGTAATTATTTATCACAGTGCTCTGAAGGCATCAATCGTCGATTCAATCGCACGCTGTTTACATTCAATGGCACTGGGTCGCCCAACACGCGCCGTCCCCCTCTCCCCCTTCCCCGGAGCTCCTCGGTTGCGCACAGTTTCCCCCGCACAGTTTCCCACCCGCATCCCCCTCAACGCTTTTGAGTTAGAACCCGTCTTATATTCCTACTAATAAACATCTTTACTAAAAAAATTATATTGTTTTAAAACAATAACTTTTTCAAGAAATAATGTCATCTTATTTTTACAAATATTTTATTTGAAGTAAAACTATTTATTATTTGAAAAATCAAACAATCGAATTTATTGAATCAATGATTGCTTTGTTTGGAGTATTCCAAAAGATAAATTTCTTTGAATTTAATAAAATTTATTGAATCCAAAGAAATCTTTTTCTCTGTATAGTTTTATAATAATGAGATGAATAATGAGATGAACCAATTGGTGCAAAGAAAACACGAAATTGCTTTATATAAAAATTATTTGCAAAATCTAACTACATATTTCTTTCATGAAATCACGCAGGATTGAGAGATTAAAAAGTTATTAAAAAATATGCCATCGCTGAAACTCTTCTTAACGAATACATTCTCCTCACGAGTACATGAGTATGAAATTCTGCTAGAACTACCGAGAACTGTCGCTAAAATTGCAATAAATAATCGGCGCGATACTATTCTTCCGAATGCCGTACCGTATTTATAATAATATGAAAAGTGAAAAAATAATTGTTTAAATTTTTTCTTGAAATTACACATAATGAATCGAATATTAGTATTATTCGAATATTAACTACAATTGTTGTTTAAAATGATAATATTTATTCTATTCTAGTACTTTAGAAGGAAAGATATTAGGCTACATTCGCGAAGTTAATGTTTAATTTAATTTTTTGTTATTAAAAAAGCTATAAATATAATAAAGAATAAAATATTTAATAATTTGTAATAACGTTGACGTGAGTCTCGGCGTGATAAGAAGCATGAACGGCAATTCATCCTTCTCCGCGCCGAGTGCCGGGCAGCCAATGTCGTCACGCTGGGCTGTCCTACGGGTTAGGCGGGCGAGCGCTTTCTCCTCGCGCGTTCTTATTTGTGCAACTTTAATATTTAATAACAAGAAAATTATTGCGAATATCGCAAAATGGTATAAGATATTTTTATTTATCTCGCTCCTGTCTATCTTCTCACAAGCGATATTACACATGCTATGGGACATCCTGTGTGTGTGTGTATTCATTTATACAACTATCAAGCATCAATAACATCTAGATTTTTCTTCTATTTTCATTGATTTTTAAATATTTATTATAAAAAGAATAAAAAAGGAACTTAGAAATATTTAAAACATTAATTGATAAGATTAAATTTGATAACTGGATTGGATGATACTGATAATCATTGATCAGAGATTATCATTATAATTTACAAAGTTTTTACGATAGTTTTTGGAGATGAAGGTCTTGCTACAGTCAGATCTAGACGTGATCCTGCCGCTGCAATAAGTGGGACGGTCAAACAACAATCACAGTCCTCTGTGTTAATTTCATTTACTCGGAGAATCCTATCATATGGTCGCAAAATACCATCGCATGGTCCACCGGGTCGCAAACAATTTATGTAAACGCCTCGTTCGTAAAGACCGTCTGATACTGAGAAGCCAAAATCTTCATAAACTGAATCTTTATGAAGTGATACATACACTATTTGCTGAGACTTATTGTTCGAACCACTGGTGCAGTCTTGTGTCCTAAAGTTTAAAGATAAAAAATATTTATATCAACAATTAATTTAAAAAACATTTTAATTACTAGATAATTAATTGATACCCAGTATATGTCGATATTGGTAAATCTAATTGTCCACTGTCTGTGGAAGCTGAATCCCAAAGCCTGAATATTTCCGGCATGATACCACTATTATCTTCCAATTCATCCCAAGAATCCATTGCACTGTCCATGCTAGGAAGACTCTCCCTGCCCGAACGTAATGGATTGGTTGGAAATTGCATTTGAACTGTGTCGTTTCCTATACTGGATTCTCTATAATAGTCTCTGTAAAATAATTTTTTTAGATATTTTTTGTACTAAGAGTTTTTAGAATAGTTTTAAAGTTAGTTTTTTAGAATAATCTTTAATTTTTTTCAAGATATTTTTTTGTCTTTTATTAAAAATATTAGAAATAAATTTTTTCTTTTATTTAAGATCGACTATATTCTAGATAATTTTTAAAATATATTACATTCTCACTTTGCATTAATTTTATTATATCAAAATTTTATTATATCAAATATATCAAATATTTATATTGATGTTTTTGCTCCTTTTTTTAATGCGTTTATATTGTTTGCATTTTAATTTTAGAGTTCAAAGAGATTTTAACATATATGTAATACTATTATATGGCTAGCAAAGCTCTTAGCAATACCGCAATACTACGGTGCAGACAATGCTCGTCTGTCTTTATCACTGTTTATTGTAAAGCGTGTGCGTGATATTTTTCCTTCCACTATGGTCTAAGCCAATGCGAATTGTTTCATAACTGAGAAGATTATTCGGCAAAATTCGCATTGTATGAATACTATAAATATTAAACAAATTTTATTAAATGATATTTTTAGACAAATAGGGATTCCTTTCGATAACAACAATAAGCGTGATCATATTATGACACAGGATTATTTTGGATAATTACCGAGCACAACTGTGTATCTATTAAACGATATCTATTATAACGATAGTAGTAAGTAGGGCACTATGGCGCGTCAAAACAAACCTCCACCACCTTCCCACTGGCGCCAGGGGCGTGGCCCCCGACGATCAAAAACTGGCAGCCACATGGAAATAGAGCGTTCTGATTGGTCGGTGGGGATGGGAGATGATAATTAGGTAATTAGTGGGAGTGTTCTGATTGGTTGGCTCCGTAGCTGCCCAACGCGTGATTGGCTTTACCCATAGTGCCCCATGTGTGCGATTGGTTGTCGAAATGCTAGACGAGGTAGGGAAAGGGTTAGAAAGCGTCTGGGACCGATCGGAGTTCGAAAACAAAATGGCGACTGCGAAAAGAAATATGGCGGGTCTGTAAAAGGAATATACTTGTCGAGAATGGAATGCGATTTTTTGTTCACGTGGGATGGAGCGAAGAGAAGAAAACCAATTTTTTGTGGAATTTACCGGTTGTATACGGGATATGAAGAATCACGTTTTTCTTAGGGCGAAAGGTTTCTCGGCGTCTCATAGTCGGTGAATTTAGATAAAATTCTCGACTCGTTTGACATTTTTTGTATGGGGAAAATATAAGTTACGAGTGGATATAGGTTTTGAAGACATGAGATTTTCGGTGTGTAATAACCATTATTTACCAGATCGTACGGTATTTGGGAGGAGGAAAACGAGAACGGTCAGGTTCGCACTATATATTTCTGACGTCGATGACGTCGAATTCAGAATTATACGAAGCTTTTATTCTAAGACAAACACGCGGATTAAAAAAATTTTCTAGATGTAAACTCTAGATTTTTCTAACATTTGGAGTTATACACTAGCGAGATTATGTTCCTTAATTCTATGGTAAACAAACGAAAAATATTTAAAAAACGATTAGATATTTCTAGCTTGGAATTATGTGGCTAAAATTGGTTTTAAATCGGTGGGAAAGAAAGTAAAATGGACAAAGAATTTATGTTACAAAAATTAATTTATTGTTATATCATTATACAAATTATACCATAATAGTGTTTCTTTAATGTTTAATTGTTCTTAAAAGTACAAGTTTGTATATGACAGCACGTTACATGAGATTTTTCACATTTCTTTTTTCCATGAAGAAGATTTTACGAAATAATTGTACGATTAGCTTATCATTATCTTCGTAATCTTCGCTGAATATTTTGAGAAATTGTTTAAGCTTATAACCGCGAGACAAATAATAAAGAAATACGCAGCAATATTGTCCACAGGTCTGAGAAAATGTGCCCTGTAATCGCGTGATGTTCCATTTATGAGTAGTAGAGTTTCGTCGAAGTCGTAGATTGAATCTGGAATCCAGGGGTGATAATCCATAGCTATCGAAATACGTGCCTTCTCCATGCTTGTCTAGGTAGAAAGCAACCCAGTGTTGTCCAGGACGATCGTGATTATCAGTGTTCGCGACGATGGCCGTCGACTTCGTCCACACCCTCGGGATTCTGTCGGCAGGATACACACCCGCATGTTCGATACTGAGATGATGCAACGCTCGTAAGATTTCGAGCGAATTCATCTTCCGCGGTGTGGAATGATGTTTGACTTGTTTTTTGGCTCGTCGGTGTCGTTATATTTTTATCCTCTTGCGAGGATTGTAGGGTGAAGCTTCCTTTTTTTCACACTTGAGTTTCGATAGATCTTCTTTCTCAGTTTTTATTTGTTCGCACCTCGCCTGTTCTTTTTCTAATCTCTTATTTCTCCGTTCACGTAACGAGATTCGGAAAATTTCGTTTTATTGTAAAAATCTCGCTTTCTGTATCACTGTCATCAGAACTTTCAATGGTAAAAGAATTAGCGTTGCTTATGTAGCAGTTCCCTTCTTGAGATTGCATCCAGTATCTCAATTTGCATGCATTGCGTAACGCGCAATGAAATTTGTCGGAATTTCGCTGAAACTCGTGATGACCGCAGCGCAATTCATGCTCCTCGCCTTCCGAGGTTTTTGAAAGTAGGAGAGATTCCTTCTAGATTATATACGTTTCTTGCGAGTGTATTTTCCAAATAATGTATCTTCTCTCGACCTCGGATATATATGTAACGCGCTTGCCGTGCAATTTCACATAGTTCCGCCATGAAATGTTTGGAATTGACTGTTCCGTCAAATCACTCGATCCCATGGAAGTTTTGAGAGAGCCAGTTGTTTTCTCGTCTGTATTTTTCGGGTAATTCGACAAATGGATATGGAGGCATCATAATGCAATGACTTATGAATGCTTCGTTAATGGCGACAACCGCTACTTCCTTCGGCATAAACTTTCCCTCAGCGTCGCGGAAACCTTGTATATCGATAACTATATCCATGATGCGTAGAATATACTTTCAATTTATTTTGCACGAAGTGACGACGTTCGCGTCTAAAGCAAAACTGCGGCTACTTTTTGTTAAGCTTTCGAAGAAATAGAAACGAAAAATAGATAACGGTGGGAGGGGGGAAATTCGAGTATGTCTCATCCGCTAAAATCAACGATAATTTGATACGAGGAATCGATCTCTAACACGTTATCGAATTCTGCGTAAATGATACAATTAATCGTTGAGGTAATAGCTTTTTCAAATCGCACCTCTAATCGTAAACTTCCATGTCTGACAAGATTCCAATGTCCAGCGCAATTTGCCGATAGATCGGGAGTAAGATCGAAAGCGAAAAGCGTGAAATCTTTGGCATAATCTTCTCTACTTATAGAATTCCCCTCGTTTAGAAAATGGATGCCTGTTCCTGAGAAGAGGGTATTATAAGCCTCGACATAGAGCGGATGATCTTTTGAGAAATTCGGTTGCAGCGGTCTACTCGGAATTTGCACGCCATCAGCATATAGCGAGAAGAAATTTTTATGCCGTAATTTTTGAAATTAAATGGATTTAACTTTCTGTCGCCGTTAAACGCTTTGTTATCGACGAATTCGACTATTACTCGTTTCGGAAGTTGCCCGAGTATCGCGTTATCAATCGATTCTCCTACCATTCCGGCGAATGAATCGTGAATGTTTTAACTTCGACTCGCGTAAGAGGATACTTGGCGGTTGTTTTACTCAGCATTCTCGCATGTTCGAGTAACACTGCGGGGCTTATTTTTGCTCTTCTTATGAGTAAACTAGCATCTAGAATGCGTATTTTCGACGTTGAATTGCTTTCCATGAGGCAAAACGCATCTCTCGAGCGAACGAGTCTCATTCTAACCTCCACTCCGTTAATTAAAAATTTATCCTGATTAAAGACATCGCAATGAAGATGGCCTATTAGATCTACCGAACGTTCTCCTTGGATGTATCGGGCGCGTCTCAGAGAGCTTGATTGAGGTTGTCCGATTCTAATAGCGCGTCCATATAATCGGGTTCGTCCGAGACAGGAAGTCAGATGGGAAGTTTTTGCCGGTGAAAAATAATTTAACAATGCTTCGATGTACGCGCGGTACGCGTAGGCGTTGTTTGGGGTGATACGAGTTTTTGATTGAAGTACACGTCGATCTGGTTGAACATCGAATGTAGTAGATGATTCACAGGGCCTACTTTGTTTCCTTCTGCTTCTCCTCCTCCCACTCCTCCTCCTCCTTCTGCTGTCGATGTTCCAGGATCGGGTAAACTTTCCACTCGTACGCGAAGGCTTAGCATGGTATGCGTGAGATCTAGATAATCTTCTCCGTGTCCGGATACGACAAATTCTATAGGCGCGTCATCCGCGAGCGAGGTCACCGGTTTGTAATAAACCCATTGCGAATTCTCGATACTGGTTTGAGTAGGAGGTAAACTGAAAAGATCGAGCTCGCTCTTTAAAACACTCGCTCGAGTGGGTATGAAGAAAGGACATATCTCTCAAATTTACAAAGTGCGTCGGTTAAGCGAATATATCGGATACGGTGCGCTTTTTCTCGTCTATTTCGATGTTTCGTTGCCTTTTTAATTTTGCCCGCTTTCCTCTTCGATGATTTTTTTTAATCGTTTTTTTTTCACGCCAATTTTCGATGATTTCTTTTTTTTACCGGCTTGTCTGCGTTTACGAACCGCACTTCTCCCGGATTTAGTGGTGCGTGCGTCGTACCCTCCGAAGGGAAACTGACCCGGTCGTATTTTCGTGGATGTTTTATATCCCGAGCCCTTCATCAAGTTATTTATATTTTCTTTGGCTTTTCTCTTAAGATTTCCGCCCGATTCCTTGAGCCGCGTTTTGACTACTTCCCTGAACGGAGTGTTGTTTTCTAACATCCTCTATCACGCCAATTCCGGCGCGTAAGCTTCTTCCGGACTGCGCGCATCCCCTGCTTAGATAAGGAAGTACTCTTCTAAATAATCCTCCGAGGAAACTACCGATCCCATGATCGCGCTGATAGGCTGAACCGACGAAAATTCATGGAATTCCGCCTCCCCTGCCCCCACCGTTTTGCATTTCGTAATACTCGTTGTATTTCATGGAGACTTAGTTTTTTCTCAAAGCTTCGTAGACTTTCCACCGCGAATGGTAATTAACGGACGCGTCTAAAGTGTAATGTTGCTATCAGCGTTCCGGAAACGAATGGTATTTTTTTTCCACGGTGATCTTTTATATCTATTTCAATTTTATGGAATTTCGTTTGACGCAAAGGAGTATATTGCAAAGTGAAGAAATATTTTACTAAATTCGTTCCGTATGTGTAATTACATCCGAGTATTTCGATTGGAACAATCCGAAGAAGCGGGCTTCGCGGGTTATGTAAGGCTCGCAAATGTCGAAATAAACGTACATTTTATCAGGGATACCGTGCCATAGACTACAGGGTTCTGCAGTCCAGAAAGATACAGTGCGTCCACTACCGATGGCATAACCGAGTTTCAAAAACGGCGTTAATTCGTCGGAATTAGGTAACTTGTGACGGTAAATTGTGCCGATGTGTATCATCGATGTTGATCTTCAATATTTGAAAAATATTAGCTGGCAGATTTATATAATGAACGAGAGTACAGTTGTCGTCACAATCGATGCTTATACGGACATTACCACCTGAACCTTTTCGTAGTTCGAAAGTAAAATGAGAATCGCTGCGTCTGCACTCTTTATTAATCGCGTACATAAGATCCTCTGTATTTTTATAAACCCCTGTCTGTAAGTGCAATTCTTTCACCGTAAACTTATCATCATTTTCTCATCTTTTACGCTCTTCAAATCAACAAATCTTATTATCTATTATCTAATCTTATTATCGTTTCGACGTATGTAAAGAAGACTGGAGGGAAATTGAATCTCGCTAAGCGCGACTTCCCATTCCCCGAATAAATGTACGCCGTGAGGTAATTGAGTGGTGAAAGAAGAGCATGTATTTCCTGGGAAATACTTCTTACTGCTATCGCTCAGAAGAACCATAAAAAATTGTTCTTCCTCCATCTTGGAGAAAAGTTAAACTCGAAGCGGGAATCCAACTGTCGAATTTACTGGGATATCCTTGCCAGCTAACTAGCAACTGTTTATTAGCACCGCGTCCTCTATTTTTTATCACGCGCTCGACGATAAACTCTTCCTCCCTCAAATTTTTTCTGACCCGTGCTAATTCTTGTTCATAAAAAATCCCATCGATGTGTTCACCCGATAAATCGCACAATTCGTACACGCGGGGTCTTCGCCAATGAAGAACGCGGCAAACTCGAAATATTTCCTCGCTCCAACGCGCTTCGTATCCTTTCTCGAAAGTGGCTTTTGCTCTACTGACACGAACGAGATCGTTAACATCGAATTTAGCCTTTTCTACTTTCGACGCCGCCTTCTCTCTCGCGCCTCTACGCCGCTCCATATTTTCGTCTGCGATGCGAGCATTTTCTCTCGTAACGGTCGCCGGTTGCATCCTGATGGATGAATGACGAGTGTGATTGTAAGCGCGCACGATATCTGCAGCACTTCGATTTGCTATAACGCCGCGTATTTTTATGTGTAAAATAGCGCCATATTCGCTCCTTTAACATTCTATTGAAGCGTTCAACGACGGCAGCTTTGACGTCCGGATTGCGAGTTACTCGATAATGTATGCTTCTTTCTTTTAAAAAATCTTGCATCGGTCGCGCGATAAATTCTTTATCCTTGTCAGTTTGCAAGTACACGGGTACTCGACCATCGCTTCTCAAGAGAATATTTTGGAAGGCGCTTGTCACGCAATTGCTCGTTTTATCCCGCAACGGTTTTACCCAGACAAATTTACTAAATACGTCGATAATCACGAGAAGATAAGAAAATCCGTCGTTGTAACTTTTGAGATTACGGAGTTCGATCAAATCTGTGGCCTCCCACAGATCATCGATATTCGTCACGTTGTAACGCAATCGCGGAAATTTTCGTCTCGACGGACGGTGCAGCGTGTACGCGTCTTGCGATTCAAGCCAGCGAGCTACTTCTTTACGAAAGAAATTCGGTTTAGCGGCACGCGACAAGTTATCCGATGCCGAATACCCCGCATAGTGCGCTGGATCGTAATACAAATTTTCAAGCCTGGTCATTTCAATTCACTCCAATCGAGTAAGCGTCTCTTTCTTACCTGTCGAGAATCTTTTGCGAAGGTTATAGGGATATCGTCTTTACGAAAACGCGGCGAAAGAAACAATGCGCACCTCGCTCGCTCTTCTTTTTCGGTCTTTCGGCGTTTTTGTCCCTTTCTCGTGCGTCGTACTCTTTTCCGCGTCGTCGCCGTCGACGTCGCCGGCGTTGACGTAGAAAGTTTTCTCGGTATTTTCGGAGTGGAATTCGCTTGTGGTGATGATAATATCTTGACAAATGTGGTTGCTAACAATTCCTTATTTCTTACGAGTACAGCCGGGGTGTTTGTCGTACGTAGTAATCGCGCAAACTGACCTCTTCCTATTGCTTTCACGGTTTTTCTCTCTCGCATCGCGTCGTTTATCAGTTCCGTGATATTCGAATCTTTTATAACGTCACCATCGATAGTCACGATTCCTTCCTCGTCCCAAGTAATTCTCGCGGGTAATGCTTTATCGATCAAATGTAAACGCGCCTTGGCGCGAAAACTTTTCGGCACCTTTTCTAATATTTTTTCGACGCTTTGCCGTTCGCGCTTATGCAGAGACTCGCCTCGTAGTATATTATTTACTTGCCCGTCAAGATGGGAAAGTTTGCTCAATGGTTGTGATTCGCGCGCTGGTTCCACCATGTCTCCCTCCTACGCATCTGAATTGTTCTCATCGGCGGCGTTACGTGCCGAATCTTCCTTTGCGTCTTTATCAAAATGGAGATATCTCCAAAGTACTTCTTTATGCAATTTCCATTTCTCACTTACATCGCGCGGAGTGGGAGAATTAAGAATTTTGCTCATATCGGAATCGAGCCGCGAC